GCTGACTTGGCCTCACCCCTCCCAGCACAGGCAAAGGAGCCTCCCCTCTGGAAGCAGCTTAAAGGCTCTCAGGCATCTGGCACTTCCTTGACACACTGTGACTGGTCCTGGCTACTCCTTGGGTGTCTGTTCCTCCAGAATGAACTCCCTGTGTCAGGGCTCATGTCCATCCCCCTGATCAGTGTGTCCCCAGTCTGGGCTCCCATGGGGAGGGGACTGCATCAGGCTTCCCTCCCAGACGGTTGCCCACGCAGTGGCCAGTGACCTCACACCTTAGGTGACCCTCTCCCCTGGGGGGTGGAGTCCAAGCAGGGGTGTGGCACGAGGGTCCCTCCTCAGAGGGACGTTTGAGTCCCTGTGCTCATGTGGGTCCCCAGCTCTGCCAGGTGCAGGCCTACAGCAGCTCGTGCTTCCTCCCTGTGGTGGGTGGTGGCGCCTCCCGGCCCACCTGCTGCCTAGAGCACCCAGAGGGGGTATGCAGGGGGGTCGGGCTCTGCCCTCATGCCGGAGGACCTTTCCCTGCTCTCCTGGGCTCTCCTGGGTCCTCGGGACTGCATGAGGCCACTGGTACCAAAGGTGCCACCAAATCTGGAGAGTTACTGTGATGCGATTCAGGTTGTGGAGGAGACAACCTCCAATATTTCCCATCAGATAAACAACACATGCATTGCAGGAAGCTCGGACAATCCAGAAAAACACAGAGAAGGAAACAAAACTCACAAGATCCACATCCTGGAGGTCTCTCGTTACTGGTCTGGTTCCACGTCATCCAGGTGTTCCCTATGCAGACATCTCTGTCGTCTATCATCTATCTATCAATCATCTATCTATGTGTCTATTTATCTATCTCCTGTCCCCCCCCATATGCATAGATACTCCCCCCCCCCACCCCGATCTCGGTCACTGGGGTCATGCCTCAGGTGCGTGTACAGGCACATTATACTCGGAGCATTCCCTGTACCCTCAAGACTTCTGGAAAGCGGAAAGCACTGTGTGGCCAGTGGCTGTGGAGTGTGACACTTCACCTGTGGGCTGCCATCATTTAAAGCATTTCCTTGCCTTGGAAGGGAGGCTTTTAAACACTGTGGCTGGGCCACACTTCTGCCTGAGCTTGGGGTCTCCTGTGGGGGGCATGGAGGTTAGGAACTGTGGCCAGGAGGGGTGCACAGCCCACGGGGATGGGGGAGCAGGGGCCAGAGGTGTTGGCAGGAGAAGCATGGGGGCAGGTTCACCTCTGCGGTCACAGCCCCGAGGGCAGGTGGAGAAGCCAGGGGTTCCAGGAAGGATGTCGCCTTGAGCTCTGCGGCCCCAGGACAGGGATGTGGGGTTCTTCTTGGCCTGGGGATGTTTGCTGGCCCCGCGGGCCGAGCCTCAGCCCGTCTTCTTCCGAGACAGACATGCCTTCCTGCTTCCCAGCAGCTCCTGAAAGCCAAGACAGGTGGGGAAACGGGCCCATCTGTGATCACCTGGGGCATCATGGACTTAGTGGGCAAAGCACAGAGGCCCCCACTGTTCCTATGGGGTTGGCAGGCTGGGGTTTCCTCCAGTTCTCCAGGTCAAGGTTGGGTCAGGGCGGCCACACCATTCTCTCCACTTGCCCCTCTCAGTGGGGACCGTCCCGGCCCCTGAATGGGGGTCCTGTTCCCATCACTGGTGTCACAATCCCAGGGTCAGGGTCACATCCCTGTCACCAGGTGTTATGACCCCGGGGTGAGGGTCCTGTCCTCAGCCCTCTGCATCGGGGCTCTCACGGCGCGAGGACCTTTCCCCACCCGTCTCACTGAGCCTCGCCCTTGTGCACAGCGGCTGCACCTCCTGCCTGTCGCTCCTCTCTGGAAAGTTCTCTCCTACGCAGAGTCTCTCAAGGCTGTGTCAGCACCTCTGGTGCTGGTGGGGACTGTGGGCCTATGGATCTGGGGGGCCTAAGGAGAAGTAGGGTGTCCATGTGACATAAGTATGTGTGTATCTGTACTTGTGCATATGGACGTGTATCTGGCCATGGACACGTGCACACGTGTCCCTCTACATGTGCGTGGACATGCACACTTACACATGCACTGCTCACACCTGTACGTGTGCACCTGCGGTTATTGTGGCCCCGTGTGACAAGGGTGTATGTGTGTATCCATACGTGTGCATATGGACGTGTATGTGGACATTGACATGTGCACACGCACAGTCACACCTGCACTGCTCACACCTGTACGTGTGCACCTGTGGATATGTGTGGCCCTTTTGCCTCGAGGCTTCCCATGTTCCGTGCACTTTCCAGAATGATCAGTGAGTTACTTCTGTCTGCAGTAGCCCCCAGGAAGGGTCTGGACGCTGCCTCTGGGCTCAGGACTGCCAGAGGACTGCAGTCTCTGGGGGTCCCTGGGGTGCACAGCTGGCATCGGGCTCTCCTTCCTGCAGGAGGTGCTGAATGGGTTTGACACAGCATACAGGCGGGTCTGGGATCTACACCACAGTGCTCTGAGCTATGTGGCCCCACCCGGGGTTGAGGGACTGCCACGGGAAAGTGACTTCGGGTGTGTCAGCTCAGGGCTGCCTTGGGGTCCCCT